AATGGGTTTTACCACATTTGTAGAGTATTAATGGAATAGAGTGAGTGGGTGGGACTCTTCTATGTTATCTTTAAACTAAGCTTTCAGAAATCTTGCAAGTACAATTCCAAAGGTTATAGTACTAGGGAATTCTGGAAATTGCCATTTTGACACAACTAGAGGTATCAGATTGGAAACAATTGCTTTATGAGTATTCAAATCCTCTTAGACAGGATCTTGACCATGTCTTGCCAAAGTACTCTACTTTTTCAGCATATCTAGAAAGTCATTTACAGTACAGAGTCTCCATTGCTGTAATGAGGTATGTAGACATTTTCCAGGAACAATATTTTCCCATCTATTATTTTGGTGCAAGTAAGGTCATTCAATCCTTTTCTATTATAGTCTTCTCATGAGTCTTTTGGAAAATTCAATTGTTCTTTAGAAAGTTCACATTTTTCTCATGTTCTGCTGTATTAGAATCTGGCATTCATTAGTTAATTCTAGCTCAGTTACACAAATGAGATTTGATTCAATAGTTCCGGTTTCTTCTAAAGCTGTACTTTTCAGTCTGTGGTTCCCAAAGTATTTTTTATTGAAGCAACAATGAACAAAAACAGGCTAATGTCCCATCTGGTATTTTATAATAAAAAAGCCACACTATCCACATATGAAATGATACTACAATCAGGAACATGTACTCCTACTAGACAAACTGGCATATCTGCCATGTAAACATACAAACATTTCCTCCCAAACATATTATTACCTTAACTGAGATTTAATATTAAGTGCTGAAATTATCAACAACTAGTGCTGGTAATGCTACTGCTGTTGTTACTTTCTTCCTTCTTGTGCCTGCCAGTTTATTTGGGCTATGCTAAGAATGTGATCTTGTAGATCAGTGGTTCTCAACCTGTGGGTCAGGACCCCATTTGGGGTCGAATGACCATTTCATGGGGGTCACCAAACAACACAGTCCGCCATTTTTTCCCCCTTTTCCTTAGTTGTGCTACTCCCTTTTATTCTATTGGCTTTTGAAAGCCAATAGAATAGACTCTCTTGAATAGAGTCTAATTCTATTGGCTTTCAAAAGCCAATAGGAATTGTCCCGGCTGTCTCTGCCCTGCTGAGCCCGCCAAAAGTCCCATTCTGCAAACGGTGCTGCAAGTTGTCTGCAGCGAAGGTGAGCTGTCTGGAAGTTTCCACCCCTCCCTGCTGAGCAACTACTAAAAATGTAAGTAAAAGAGGGCCAGGGGTGGGAGATGGGAGGCTGGCAGGTGCAGGGAGGGTTGCTGGCATGCGTGGGGCCTGGCGGGTCCCTTACCTCCCTTGGTGGTCGGCCTGCGCCATCTCTGCCGCTTGCCAGCTATGCCTCGGCCGGCGCAGGAGGCGGCACCACACATGCGTGGTGCTCCCCGGCAGGGAAAGTCCTCCACTTACAACTGGTTGGGTAGCCCTCGACTTACGACCGGTTGGGCTCGCGGCATTAAAAAGGTTGAGAACCACTGTTGTAGATGAACAAGGAGATTATGAACTCCAGACTCAACCGACTTGTCTCCTGGCTCTGCATGGATATTGCTCAAGGCAAAAAGGTGACTAAAGGGAAGGATATTTTTTTTGTGCCAGCATTATTGTGTTGTTCATTATCATCCCTTGCCAACCTCTTTCAAGATTCTGCGGGGAAATGAGAGGTGGAGGAAAATGGCCTTCTCAAAGGCTACACCCAATGGTGAAGTTTCAAAGATTCAGACTAACGCCCCCTCTTTGGTGATGTCTTGTGTTGATTAAAGCCTTTAGTTTAGGTAGATGTTCATTCCATCACCTGTGTATGTTTTATCTGTCATTTCCTCCTAATTTTATTAATTTTTTTCACAGATTATTCAAGTCCCTATGATTCTGAAGAGGTGAAAATCTCTGGATATATCCTTCTTTGTTGATCTTTTTTTACAGTATGATTCAAACAAAAATTATTTTCCTGATAATTAACAGGTACCTTGGCCATTCTGACACCACTTATCTTCAATAGTTGCTTAAAGACGAATGGATCGTAGTTACAGCACAGGTAATTAGATACTGCGTAGCAGCACTAAAGATTCTCTGGAACCTGATGAATAATTCATTATAACCATTTTAAACAACTAATGCACTGAATGCTTTGATATTATTACGCTATTATACTTTAGTAACTAATAGCCATAAGCCTTCACAATTTAAGGACTAATATTGCATTATAGCTTAGGCTGTGATCTTGTTTACAACAGATAAGACTGTCAATGATGACTTCAACAGATTTTATTTGTTTGTTGTTTTATTATAGATTTTCTGACTAGATATTCTGAGCATTTTTAATTGTACTGGTCTTTAACTGTAATAAATATTTGACTGACTCTTCTTTTCAAGGTGGTTAATTTTATATTGGATTTCATTGTTAAGATACCTCAATAACTACATAGGTCCTAAAATATCAGGAAATAATTTTTTAAAAGAATTATATTGAAAGTATACTTAAAGGCCTACTTCAAACATTAATATATTGGACCAAATATAAGAACTACCTTAATATGTGATGACCCAGGGCACAGCACAGAGGCAATGCAGTCAGCTGGCAATTCAAACTGCCCTTTAATTGCTCCAAATTTTCCCCAAATGCTCCCACACACACACCTTCAGCCACCTCTGGCTGCAAGTAGTTTCACATAGTCTGATTAGGAGAGGAATTTACTCAAGGCCATGGAGATAACAAGGAATGACACATAAATCATAAACCTAACAAGTCTGTGTGAATACATGCTTGCCTGAGCAGTTTCAAAAGGGAAGCCAAAATACAGTCTGAGATCTTTGAACATCCAAGCAACATTGTCAGCCAGTCCAATGGTCAGGGTTTCCAGGTTTCCAAGCAGAAGTCACAGAACAAGAGATCAGCCAACAACACACACAAAATTCCAAGGAATTAGCGTTTGTTCCTGACAAATCTCTCCCCACAGCATCTCCTTAAATCTGTCTCCAGGTGTGCCTTGTGGAGAGGGGCAGGATGCTCTCCTCCTGAGTAGTTGAACCTGCCTGCATTGTTCCCTCCTCTCCACTCTCTGTGCTCTAGGATCAGGTGGGGGTGCCCCTTGCCTGAACTCTTGTCTCTCCTGTTCATCCTGTCCCAGTCCTGAAGGGCCCTGGCCTGCCTCGGCCTGCTTCAGGCTCTGACGGAGGCATGATATCGTATGTTCTGCCTAAGGCATTTCAGATTCAAAAACAGAGCCAAAGAATCCTTCTTTGAAGCAAGTTGCTTCAACCTGGTCCACCATAGAGCTGGCTCTACATCCTCTATTACTTTCAACCCTTTTCTTCTTAATAGTTTTCTGTACTCTGGGTTATTTTAAACTATAGCAATGCATTTACAAAAGAGTTTTAAAGAAAATGTTAGTTTCTATGCTATTTAAAAATGTAAAAGGTGGAAATACTTGGCAAAACTAACTTCTGTATCCAAATTCCATTTTATATCTTGATCTGGTTCAGCAGCTAAGCAAGTTTTGAGCCTAGGATTTCACAATTTCTGAACCATTTAGTTAAAAATCTTATGAATTTGCAATGAGAGAGAGCTCTAATCGAGTTTCACCAATTTGGTGCTGTCCTAACATGCTGGGATTATAACTGATATTATCCCTGAACTACTATATGCTGTCCCAACATGTTCATAAATGCTAGGTTGGGGAAGGCTGGAGTAATTTGGGGGAAATTATTAGTTTCTACAGTGAATATATGATTAGAACCCATCAAGAAATGAACCTGAATCAAGTCATTAACTATGAAGGTATTTTTTATTAATAAGGATGACCACCTAGATTTTGAGATTATACATCATACATGGTTCAGTACAATTCTTTTCTTTTTCCTTAATCATTACATCTAACCTGTCTCGATATTCATTCTTTTTCAACAGTCCAACAAGCAAATACAAAATTGCACATGAATTATAAACATACTGTATTCACACATTAATTTTATCTTCTGTTTGGAGAAGACTTTTATGGTAATTCATAGTATTGCCCTGAGATGGGCAAGATTAAGTCAACTGAGGTCAATAGAGCATGCAAAAACCTGTGTAGATTGTAATAAAAAAAAAACTTATAAGAAGACCTTAATCGGGACAAGGTTTTGAGAAAAATACTGGCTTAAAATTTTGACTTGTTTGTAATGGTAAACAGAGGAACGTATTTTACTTGGAAAAAGGGAAAGCACAAATGCTCCAAACATGTGGTCTGTAATCTGCTATGTCCTTGGAAAGAACATAGTCTACCATCTATTTCCTAAAGTATAAAAATATAATATAAATATAAAAATTGTTTGGGAAATCCAAGCCCTGTTCTTTTTGTGAGCCCATACTTCTATTCTCACTCTATCAGTTTTAGTTTTTTTTCTCTTACCATCCCAATTCCAATATATGAAGTATCCATGAGACCGCTGATAGAATAACTACATGGATGTTCTTTCTTGTGGACCACCAATATCTGTCCCTTTGCTTTTAAACATACTCTTTGGACTATAGTTGTATGTGCCTATGTCCTGGAGACAGGACAAACATGAGCTATCTGATAATAATTACACTTTAATGCATATTTGAAAAAATACTTTCATAGAAATGTTATCTTAATTAGAAAAACAATGTCATAGTTAAAAAATAAAGCACACTATACACAGCAACATGCTTGTATTTACTATTGTGTACAGATATTATTAACAGGTATATACAGGTCGTCCTTGATTTACAACAGTTCTCTCAGTAACCGTTTGAAGTTATAACAGCACTGAAAAAAGTGAGTTATGACCATTTTTCACATGAATGGCGGTGACAGCATCCCCATGGTCACGTGTTTTACATTCAGATGCTTGACAACTGACTCACATCTATGACGGATGCAATGTCCCGGGGTCATGTGATCCCCTTTTGCAACCTTCTGACAAGCAAAGTCAATGAGGAAACCAGATTCACTTAATAACCGTGTTACTAATTTAACAATTGCAGCAATTCACTTAACAAATGTGACAAGAAGAGTTGTAAAATGGGACAAAACTCACTTTAACAAATTTCTCAATTAGCAATATAAATTTTGTGTTCATTTGTGGTCATACGTTGAAGACTATCTGTACTATCTTTTTGCCGTTCAAGGCAGAGTGTTCATTTATTTCATCACAATAACCTTGTGAGCTAAGTGAAGCAAGGAGAGAAGTATCTGTACATAAACCATCTTGCAGAAAGTATCCAGTATTTTCTTGCTGCCTCATTTTCCCTTATAAAAACTAGGGGCTAAATCTCCTCCAAGCTACCTCATACAGGTGGTACAGATAGGATGTTCATTTTCTGCTATTTGTTAAAGCATTTGGCTGGAAGAACTTCAGGTGTTCCATGTGGTTTTTCTGGGACACATGGAGTTAAGAAAACAAAGACCTTAGTGGAACTACAGAGGATACAGAGTGAGAAAAGGATTTGTAGACATAGCCTTAGTTAAGAAACAAAATCCAGCTAAAGCTCTCTCATGCTAAACAAAAGACCATATGAAAATCAAATGCAAATTAGGCTTTGCCTATTAGCCCGTCTTTATCAAAAGTCAGTTTTAACTCAGCATTTACAGCTCCTGAAATAAGAGCTGGTGTGGTGTAGCATCACAGAACTGACTAGAGGCTGCATTTAGATTCTTAACTCGGCTATATGAGGCGCAGTGGGTGATTTGGGGCCACTCATTCTCAATTTACAACCAGTCATTTAGTCACTGTTCAAACCTACAAAGGCACTGAAAAAAGTGACTTGCGACTGGTCCTCACACTTACCACCCTCACTGCATCCCCATGGTCACATGATCAAAATTCAGGTACTTGGCAACTGGTAAATATTTATGATGGTTGCAGCATCCATAGTCACATGATCGTCATTTTCAACTTTTCCAGACAACTTCCCACAAGCGAAGTCAATAAGGGAAGCCAGATTTGCTTATTACAGTCATGTGATTCACTTAACAATTGCAGTGATTCATTTAATAACTGTGGCAAAAGCCATAAACTCAGATGTGACTCACTTTGCAACTGCCTTGCTTAGCAACAGAAATTCTGGTCCCAACTGTCGTAAAAAATCGAGGACTACCTGTATTGGGAGGTTACATTCCATCTAGACTTCACTGTTTTTTTCCAGGGCTGAGTACTGAGTTACAGAATTATGCCAGCAGTAGGAATTTATTAAGTACAACTTTTTCCATAAATGAAAACTGCCCCAGTTATCTAAAGGTACCCTGATGCCTGAAAACAGTGATGACTATGACTATGGCAGTATGGCATCTCCACGAATCTTTAGCACACTCATAATGTTTTTAAACTCGGCACTGGATAAGGGCTTAATGTTCAAGATGGCACAAAGATGTTTCTTTCTGTATTGGAAAGAGAAAAAAAACAAAGCATGAGAAATGATAGAGTTAAAGTAGCGAGAAAAATGGTGAGATGAAATGAGAAACAGAAATTTTAGCTTTGCATGCAGTTATAAGGAGGCAGACTGGTGTAGTGGTTAAGGCATCAGATTAGAAACCGGGAGAGAGTGAGTTCTAGTCCCAACATAGGCACAAAACTATCTAGGCGACTTTGGGTCAGTCTTTTTCTGCCAGCTGTAGGAAGAAGGCAATGCAAACTACTTCTGAAAAGCCGGTCATAAGTTGAGGAGTCCCTGTATACCATCCAACTGCAGCAAATTTTGATATATATTGCATAGGATGGTTCAAGAAGACTCCACCTTTTCTTTCTGCTTCTGTCCTGCCTTGGAGTGACAGAAGATACAGTATGTGTGGCTTAAATCAGTGCAGTGGAAATGGTACCCTGATGCCTGAAAACAGGGATGATGATGGTAGCGTGGCATCTCCACGAATCTTTAGCACACTCATAATGCTTTTAAACTCAGCACTGAGTAAGGACTTAATGTTCAAAATAGCACAGAGATGTCTCCATCTGTTTCAAAAGAGAAAACACAAAGCATGAGAAATGAGAGAGCAACGTAGTGAGAAAAACGGTGAGATGAGATGAGAAGCAATAATTTCAGCTTTGGATACAGTTATAAGGAGCCAAACTGGTGTAGTGGTTAAGGCAACAGATGAGAAACCAGGAGACTGTGAGTTCTAGTCCCACCTAGTCCCTATTTAGGTGAACTTGAGTCAGTCTTTTTCTGTCAGCTGTAGGAAGGAGGCAATGGCAAACTACTTTAGAAAAACCCTGCCAAGAAAACTCTGAGAATTGGATATGACTGAATGGAAGAAAAAAAAAACCCATTTGTAAAGGACAACAACAGATATTCAAAGCAAATGGAAACACACTTCAATGTGCCCCTTTCAGTCACAAAAGTAGCACAGGAAAGAAGCATGAATGAAAAAGGAAGAAGCTCAGCAAAAAGTATTCCCCATGGAGAACTCAGTGTTGCTTGTGTTTTCAGGATAGAAGCTGCATTTCTCATTCTATTATTCGTTATACATGGGGACTAATAGAAATTAGCAAAAGGTTTTCACAACAACAACAACCAAGAAAGTCCAATTGACTTTTGGAAAAAAGCACCTTTGGGACAACCATGACCTGGGTGATTGAGAACCTCCATAGATGCAAAAATGGGATTCTGTTGTTTCAAAGGGGATGGTGGGGAATGCATGCATTTTCCACTCTAGTGTAGAAGGTGTTGTTAGTGGCACAAAATCAGAGGAATCAACTGTTATTGGGTTAGTCCTTAAAAGTAAATTCATAAGACTTTTTCCCCTTACTTGATATCAGGATATCTGCTGGCAAGTGCACTGACTTCAATCTTAATAGCATCTGGATCTTGAAGTCTGATGATTTCAGCCAAGCTTGGGAGAACAGACTCCAGCCATGTGGCATTAGACCCCTACCAAAAGAAAATACAATGTTTAAATATTTCATCCTGAAAATTCCTACCAAATATAAATTCTCGCACCCATATACTTCAAAATGCTCAAAATAAGAGATGGGCAAACCAAAGCCTCCATGCCCCAACTTTTTTTTTTTTTTTGCAACCTCCACAAACCACCTTCTCCCTCTTAGCAGCCTTATTGAAAAATAAAGTAACAGTTTTTATACAGGAAGAGATAATTTTGTAATAATGCTTTTATTTGCTTTATCTCTTCTTTTTTCACCATTGTCTTTTTTCTTTTTTGTCTGTTTTTGTTTTTTACTTCTATATTAGTTTGTGTTAATTGTTATGTTCTATTTAAAACTTTCAATAAAATTTATATTAAAAAAAAATAGAAGTACACTTTTTCTTGTAGAAGTACAGGTAGTCCTCGACTTACGACCACAATTGAGTCCCAAAATTCCATTGCTAAGCAAGACGTTAAATGAGTTACATCCAATTTTATGACTTTTTGCCATGGTTATTAAGTAAACCACTGCAGTTGTTAAGGGAATCACAGCAGTTGTTAAGGGAATCTACTTGCCCCATTGACTTTGGTTGTCAGAAGCCAGCTGGGAAGGTTACAAATGGTGATCACATGACCCCGGGACACTGCATCTGTCATAAATACATGCCGGTTGCCAAGTGCCCAAATGCTGATCATGTGACCATTGGAATGCTACAGTGGTCATAAGTGTGAAAATCAGTCACTTTTTTCAGTGCTGCTGTTGCTTTAAAGAGTCATTAAATGAATGGTGGAAAGTCAAGGATTATCTGTAAAAGCAAGACATATATTGAACATCGAATAGGTGAAGCACATACATTTTGCTTTAAATAAAACAATCAAATTTATGAAATTGGAATTTTGTTGTTGTTGTTAATTGCGAAGTCGTGTCCGTCCCACTGTGACTCCATGGACAACGTTCCTCCAAGCCTTCCTGTCCTCTACCATCTTCTGGAGTCCATTTAAGTTCACGCCTACTGCTTCAGTGATTCCATCCAGCCACCTCATTCTCTGTCATCCCATTCTTCTATTGCCCTCAATCTTTCCCAGTGAGTCCTTCCTTCTCATTAGGTGGCCAAAGTACTTGAGTTTCAACTTCAGGATCTGGCCTTCTAAACAGCAGTCGGGGTTGATCTCCTCTAGGACTGACTGGTTTGATTGCCTTGCAGTCCAGGGGACTCGCAGGAGTCTTCTCCAGCACCAGCCTTTCTTATGGTGAAATTAGAATAGGTACCACCCTCTTCAGTGATGTAACCTGACTATGATAATACCCAAAAGCAGAGAATGTTTGCATGCAAAGCATGTACGCTGAACTGAACTGGTGTACAGTTCTTAGGAACTTTTCAGAAGGTCATGTGATTTAAGCTGGAAAGAGAAAAGAGTAGGCTTACTGAAGACTCAAGTCTGTCTATCCCCCTTTACTGCCAAAATATGACTTCACAGTTGGCCACCTGAGTTTAAACCTGTTTCTCCAAATCATCTATTTGTTAAACCACTCTAAAGGGAACATTACTGGATGCCCCAAGGTCAACAAGGCATCCAGACTGGTATTACAGCACTGGAGATGCAGACTTACATTCTCTGTGCAAAATGTGTACAAAATAGAAGCATGACTTTGAATAAGGTCAGACAACTGATTTTGCTTCTCGGGAGATTTGAGTGTGGTGTTCTTCCACATAAGCCTTTGAATATATTTTTGGACTAGGTAGAGGTGAATTCTTTCCATGATAACCTATAACAGAAGAAGCAGAGGTTAATTTTCAGCCTTGATGTCAGCTCCAGATCAATTAGAGGGAAGAAAAAAAATTCTATTGCCAGGGTTATAAAAATGCCATTGAAGGCTTTCCTGATGTACATAATTGGTTTCTCTTAAGACTAAAGTAGTTTCTATGGCCTGGGGAGAGGTGCTCTAGACCGGGGATAGGCAACCTTGGCTTTTATGACTCGTGGACTTCAACTCCCAGAATTCCATGCTGGCTCAGGAATTCTGGGAGTTGAAGTCCATGAGTCATAAAAGAGCCAAGGTTATCCCTGCTATCCCTGCTCTAGACTAATGCTAGGAAACCCTTTTTAATGTATTTCCTTAAAAAAAATCTCTTGGGGCTACATATTATAGGAACTTCAACTTACAACCATTCATTTAGTGACCATTCAAAGTTAAAAAAAATGACTTACAACTGATCCTTGAGCAATATGATTGTTGCAGGATCTCCAGCTATTCTCCAATAAACAATTTCCATCAACTTCATCCAGAGAGACTAATAGTGAGTGGTCCTGGGAGTCACAGTTGTAGTCTACACTACCTAGCAAGAACTATACACTTTCAGATGGGTTTCCAGCACTACCTGGAAATGGTGAGGACTGGAAACTTTGGAATGCATAATATGAAGTCTGCCACCAAGTTACAATCATTGTAGATTATTAATAATTCATACAAAGTTTCAAATCTCCTTTTTGTTATTTCTTACTCAGTATATAAACTGCAGTTCTCATTTTATAATGAAAATCTCATGTAATTGGATTTAAGTCTATTATTCTTTCATCATTTTTTAAAAGTATTGGGATGACTATAATTATGATTGTGAATAATGAGAAATAAACAATAAAACTGCTTATGCTGCTCATCAAACCAGTTCAAAATCCCATTAACCATCAATTTGATGAGCTAGTAAAAGAAAGAGGTGTCGGTAAAACCAGAATGTCTATTAAATCTGATTGAGATCTAATCATGTATTTTGTATATAATTTATTCATGGCAATTTTACATATTTTGTGCATGCATAAAATAGAAATGTAATTTTATACAGGTGTACTTTACAAATGCATAAAGTTATAGACAGGATTTATGTATGCACATATTCTGACTTGTACAGAACAAAATCCTCTATACTGCAGATTTACTGTCTAGAAGGAGGTAAAACAAATAGGTCTTTGCTTAGGAATTTGTGTTGGATTTTGGAAACAAACTGTAGAAGCTAAATCTTATTATTATTCTCTGCCTCATCAGGAGCCTTTCAAGGCCATAAATTCTTGAGATACTTAAACCTCAAGCATATATCCTATATAGAGGCCTTGACTGCTGTGCATTGAAGCAGTGAAGTTTTTTTTAGTACATGGTATTATTTTCACTGCAATGAAGACACAAACCTTGTCATGTCCATGAGCCTTCTGCTGAGTAAATCAATTCATGAATGAGGGCTTAAATGAATGGAAAGACAAGATTTAGAATTGAGCATGGTGTGAATCCTGACAAAAACAAGCCAAAGTCTTCTAGAAGACGAAAAGGAGGCTATTATGTTGGACTTATAGAATGGGACTCCGAGTGACATTAGCAGCCTTGATGTCAGCTCCAGGACAGCTTGACCTGGGAAATCTGGAATGCTGTCATGTTCTTTTAAAATATAGATGGAATAAGATTTAAAAAAAGGAAAAACAATAATTGTCCTAACATTTCGTAATATTTCAAAATCATGTAAAACATGTTTAACAAGGAGGATAGGTGATAATGGAAAAACATGTGCATGCCATGAAAAGTGAAGTTTTTTTAAAACCACATTTAACTCTTATTTGTCCATCTCAAGGTTTAGGTTGCAAGAATTGGCTCACTTCATTTTTAGTACTAAATTTTGAAAAGCATAAAAATGTTTGCACTTGCAGTTCCTTGTATCAACTCACCTGGCGATGAGGCTTTTTAAGCTTCTTGAACAGACAGATACGGGGCTCCATGACTGAAATTATTTCATCCATAATGCCACTGCACGAGGCCCATTTCTTTTCATTAAACTTTTTAAAAAGAGGCTAAGGAACAAATTTTAAAAGTTGTTCAGTTTTTAAAAAAGATATTCCCATAAATCTCATTTCTTTCTTTGAGGAAAAACTTTATTAGATTTTTTTTAAGCACCGTCTAATTCTGCCAGTTTATACATGACTGGTGAAAAAGTACAAACTTTTACTTTGTCCTTTCTCCTTCATAGCTCAAGCTATCACAGAGTGAGGAAGAGGCTCCATTGCTCCCTTAATGCACATTATAATTTATTTATTATAAGTATTTTCATTCAATTTTTCCCACACAGTCTTAAGATGGTTATAGACTTCTTTAATTACCTTTGTTCACTTTCTAAAAATATTTTCCTGGGAGACAATATTTTTCCATGAAGATTAAAGAGCAAGGATAACTATTCCATTATGGAATGAATAGTTTTCTGGGAGGCTGACAGACCTGCGTTTATTCTTCTTAATCCACCCCCATGCCCCCCACCCCTGCTGTTGCCTTCCAGTGGAAGAGAAAACTATCATAAAATGTTGATTTTTGAAGTACAGTTGGATGAAGGTGCTTTTCCATCCTTAGAACTCCAGAGAAAGTCATCCATTTACCTTCACTGAATGGAGAAGGCAAGTTTCATCTTATGCTTTGCCTCAGGCAGCAAAGGATCTTGAATGAGCTCTGTAAGTAGCTTTATAGTAAATATCTGTAAGAATACCTGTAACTCTTGAAACAAGGGTTGAAGGAACACACTAAACCCAGTGTTCTGAAGGTCATCAAGTAGGGAAAAGATTTTTGTTTTTACAACACTCTCAGCTGAATCTGTGTTCTTCACGGTATAGGTCCTGAAAATCCAATTAAAAATGAATTAAAGGTATTGTTCTTCAGCTATTTTAAAACATCAGTTCTTTTTGCTTACAGCAGCTTACAACATCCATTGAATACAATGCTATGCAATTCTTAACCAAAAAGTATGCATAATAAAAGAATAATAACAGCAACAACATAATGGTTGCTAATAATAATGCAATCTATTCAATTTAGATGTTGCCCAACTCCAGGCAACTCTGAATAAAGATCTGCATAAATTGTACATGTGTAGCATGTCTCAAAAGAAAGCAACACCTAGCTAATGTCTGTGCTTGGGAACTAAGCAGAACTAAATCTAGTTAGCACTTTGAGAGTAAACCTCCAGGGATTCTCAGGGTTATAAGATAAGTTGACTGGCAAATTAAAATAAAATCCAGAACAGAACAATGGCAAATCATTTCCATACTGCTATAAAATACAGATGAGGCCATGAAGTCATTACAATTGGAAGCTCAACTTGAAGGAAACATTCCTTTTAGCATTAAATGAAGATGTTTATAATGAGTATTTGAAGCTTTCCGAATCCTGGCTTTTGGCTAAAAGACCTGGGCTGCACAATGAAGACCACAATTCATCAGCAACAAATAGATATGTATTTATAGAACTTATATGGCCACCCATCTCATGCAACAATCCTAGGCAGCTCACTTTTTCCATATCTCTGTTGCTATTTGGCTTTCTGCAGTCCAGATTTAGTAGTCCTGCATTAGTATTACTATATTCAGAGTTGCCTGGACTCAGAGATGGGCAACAAATAAATTTGATAAATAAATAAAAAATATTATAAAGGGCTATAACAGTGATGGCGAATCTTTTAGAGACCGAGTGCCCAAAAACTGGCTCTGCCCCCTGCCCTGCCCCCACCCTACCTGCCCACAGGGCCACACACTGCCTCCAGGCCCACTGCAGATCGCCCAGGCAGCCCAGCAGTGCCATGGCGGCCACGCCCTCTGCCCGCGCCCTGCAGCATCAACTGTGTGGGATGCGGCTTAATGGCAGAGTCTTGTCTATGCTGCCTGGCTGCCATCTCCTTGGCTGCGCTGCTCCGTGTGGACCACGCTCGGGGGCGACTCTCCTCCCAAGGGGCTGCTGGTGAGCAGGGGGTCACGGGGGGGAGGCGAGGCTGGGGCAACGGCATGTGTGCCCACAGAGAGGGCTCTGAGTGCCACCTCTTGCATGTGTGCCATAGGTTCGCCACCATTGGGATATAATATCAGAAAGCATTACATACTTTCATTTAGGTTATTATGAGTATATATAAAAGTAGATATATCTGTTGGTGACAGTTTCATGTTACCCTTCACTGAATGGGGTCCTGGAAGAATTAAACATTGTGCAACCATTTCTACAGATGTAATCCATGAGGAAATAATTATTCTGATGGACAACAAGAATGCATGGTGGAAACCAAGTGAGAGCATTTAGAAAAAAACATTTGGCCTTTTGGAGACACAAAAATTAATGAGAACAGTATCTGCTTAGAAATGTATCTTTTTGTTCTGAATAAATGGTTTAAGTGTATTCATATCTACACTTGGAAAAAATGAATCATAAATCCTGATTGATTTAATTGTTTATGATGAATAACTAAAAGAATTAGTAAAGGATACATGGATGAGACCAGACTGTTTCATAGGTAATTTTCTGATATCAAGGTATGTTTTGGAAAAAAAATGGACATGGAAGGGGGGGGGAAATGAAAGGTACTAGAGCAGGGGTGTCAAACTGGAGGCCATTGGGCCGGATGTATCATGTGCAGGCCATACCCACCCCACATTGCAAAGGCAAAAAATGTTGTGATACGTCACCTGACACGATCGAGTTTGACACCAGTGAATTAAGGGGAAAGTAGAATGATTGTAAATACTGTTTGAAAAAAGTATAAGATGAATCTCCTAAGAAAATAGGTGGAAAATGGATGTAAGAAAAGGTGGGGATGAGGAATTTGTTTGGAAGGGAACAAAAGAATTACATTATGAACTGCTATGGAAATGTGTAGTTATATGCTAATGAGAAATATGAAAAAGAATGCTTGGGGCAGTGGTGGCGAACCTATGGCATGGGTGCCAGAGATGGCACTCGGAACCCTCTCTGTGGACACATGTGCCGTTGCCCCAGCCTTGCCTCCCCCCACAACCCCCTCTCCAGCAGCCCCCTTGAAGGAGAGTCGCCCTCGAGTGTGGCCCACACGGAGCAGCGCAACCAAGGTCGTGGCAGCCAGGCAGCGTAGACAAGACTCTACCCTCACACCCCATCATGCAGTTGATGCTGCAGGGAGCGGGCAGAGGGTGTGGTCGCCACAGCCTGCTGGGCTGCCTGAGCGATTTGAGGCAGGCCCTGGAGGTGGTGAGTGGTCCTGTGGGCAGGTGGGGCGGGGGGACAGAGTGGGGGTGGGTAGGAGGGTGGAGCGGGGGCGGGGCCAGTTTTTGGGCACTCGGTCTCTAAAAGGTTCGCCATCACTGGCTTGGGGTAATGATGCAGTGAAAGAGATTATGGATAAGGAAAAAAATGAGAAGGTTCAAAATGAAACATTTTGCACAGTCCTACTATATTTCTTGGTTTTCTAATACATATGTAAGAAATTTGTAGTGCTATCATTCTGTTCTTACCGGAAATTCTCGAAATTGTTAATGTTTGCAATGATTATTGCTTCAAAATATCGATTGTGTTTATTTTCTTTAATGAATATCTCTAGTTTTTTCTTGTAGCTAGAGAGATCACAAAAATGAAAACAATCATTAGTAACTTTACACTGGTATCCAGGCATACCATGATATGAAATCACTTTCCCAACAATTTGCTATCTTACCTTTGCAGAAAAGTCAAGAGTTCTGTCAAAAGCAAGGCTGATATTTGGTGGCCCAACCCTGGACTGATATCCTCAGCATGCTTTTGTGCTCCATAGACAGCCTAAAACATCCATCCCCCACAAAATCAAATAATTAGTACTTTAACTTTTTAATACACAACTCTCCCATTCTACAAGCAAAATCACAAATGTAAACATTCCCTCCAACAGGAAACCAAAAAGATTTATTAGTAAGCAAAATGGGATAATCCCGAAGCACAGAAAGAAATGCATACCATTTAAAAATTAAATAATAAAAAATAATAAAATAAAATAAAATAATAATAACAACCACCACCAATATCAAACATCCAGATCTGCCTATCCCAGGTCCTTGGTAAGGATTCGATAGGTAGACAAAAATGCCAAATCCAGCCTGAAAAGCTGGCTGACTGTGCGATGATCAATAATAAAAATAATTTCAGAAACAAATAGACTTAGGACTTCTGTTTCTGACCTTCAAATTTATTTTGACCATGTTTTTCAACCTACTCTTCTATGGCCCATTTCCATCTGATTAGTACTACAAGCTTCCTCTTCCAGGCTGACTGAAACCAGGAAATTCCTAAGGACATTAAAGTGACAATGGATTTTTTGTGACAGTGTCCACACTTCTATTCCAAAATGACAAGGTTTCCCAGTCTTGTAATTAAGTACTTCCTGCTTATGTTATAAGCTGAACTCTGTGACTCCACTCCAGTAGTCAGGAATGTTGAGGATGTGTTTCAGCACACTTTCAAATGAAAAACAGAATAACCTTAATATGGAAACTTTGAAACTGGAATTTTGGAATTTGCACTGGTTTTCTATGTTTTAGTGCATATTGTTTAATATTTAAAGCAGATTTTGGAGCTGAAACTTTTCTTTCTTTAAACCTGCCAAGTTAAACTTGCCAAGTTAACTTGGCAGGTTTAAAGAAATAGGATGTGGTTTGTTCCTCTGTGGAACTGATGCAAAATGGTGAAATCCCCAACTGGCTGAAGTTCTACAGAATCTGTAGAGGAAGGTAAAGCAGGAAGCAGGTGGTGAAGATCACAGCTTAGGTGGAGGAAGCTTGCAGTGTTTTTGGAACGTTTTTAGGAAGAAAAAAAGGCAAAAAGCAGCCAAAGTAAAGAGTCAATCAAAAATTCTAAATCAGAAAGGATGGGATTGGCAAGCTAGACATGAATGGATAAAAATAAGAGTATTATGGACAAGAATCCAGTTGGCATGTCATCACTGCTGGGCATTTGATGCATGTCATCACTTTTTGATCTCAGCCCAGGTTCTCTACCTTATGTATCTGCATTTACAACTAATCTCATGGGCAGCCTAGTCAGGATTGGTCCCTTAACTGGAAATCTACATTTCAGTAATTTGCTTGGATGCTTGCTAAAAGAAAACTCTAATATAGAGAAAAAATAATTATTTCTTGTCAGTGAAACTTCACTGTATCAATGTAATCTGCTTGCTTCTAGTAAAACAGACCAAATCTATTTTAGTTTTTTTATCTTTAATTTTCATTCTCGCATAAAATGGGGAAAATTATGAATAGGGGACTTCCCAGTGTCTATAGGTCTATGTAGTGCTTTTTTTGGGGGGGGAGGAATTGTATGAGAATGTGAGTGTCAGAAGAATAGGGTTCAAATCATAGAAAAAACTGGATTTAAAATGGTCCTAATCAAACCCATGGATAAGAACATCTGGAATCTGTTTGCACAATTCTGAATAATAAATCAACCTAAGAGTTTATTAGGCAGTCCAAAGATCTGGAATGAGATGGTTGAATGAGGGAATATTGTAAATGTACCAATGACCTTAATAGTGATTAGGAAGTTCTACATCAAGCCATCCACCATTTTCAAAGTTGCTATAGTCAGGGTAGAAACAAAAATAGTTTTGCTTTCCATTTTTTGTCCTGGCATATATTTTGGCGCAGCAGTTAGAGTGCAGTACTGCAGGCCACTTTAGCTGACTGTGTTCAGCAGGTCAGCGGTTCAAATCTCACCGGCTCAAGGTTGACTCAGCCTTCCATCCTTCCGGGTAGGTAAAATGAGGACCCAGATTGTTGGGGGCAATGTAAATATATATATACATTGCTTACTGGTGTACACCGCTTAGAGAGTGCTTGCACTTAAAGCGGTATATAAGTCTCATAAATAAATAAATAAATAAATTTTCTTTTTAATTCTCCACTGAGATTAGTTGAAAATTACTCTGCCAGACTCAACTATAATAGTGTGCCAGAACTGGGAATGGGCTGGTGGGGAAAAAAAAAGAAAAAAAAAATCCAGTGGAACTAAGATTGCTCTGAATGTCTAGGAATGCCTTGAGACTCTTCCACTATCAGGGTAGATCTATAATTTTAGATCTTTCCAAATGAATACTGTGGTCTTCTGGAACAAATTTTCAGGAGCTGACTGCACAATACATACATAAACATAAAATACATGCTATTTACCTTTATAGCATCTATTGATAATTCACTATGAAAATAATCATCCAATATCTCTGGTGCTGTCCCTTGCATCCATTTCTTGACTTCAATTTCCAAAGATTTGTCCAACCAACATCTAACAGAATCCTTTGTAAGATAAGAAGAAAAGACCAAATATACAATTAGCAGCTATCTCTCTAGAAATGCACATATTTAAATCTAATGTGCTCTTAAAATGACTGAATAGCAGCTCTGCTGCATGCTATGCTACAATTCCTCCATTAAATGAAAAAGTGTACATAAACAAGGATTTTGAATACTGGGCTTCATACACAACTGAGCTATGTAGGGGTTATAGAATGAAAGCTAATAAAGAGCCAAAACGGTCCATCTGCAATAAAGTGTCTTCTGGAAAGTCCCACATACAACAGTGGTTCCCTTTCTGACTCTGGTAATAGCAGCACCTATAAATATTTAGGAATACATATTAACTTTTCTGTAATAGCCCTTGGCTTCCTGCTGTGGTCTGCTGGGAACATGTGAGTGGAAGAAGGACAGAAATCAGCACTAGGGAGCCCTTACCCAATTCCGGGCTCTGGCATCTACAGAGTCTGGGACTGCAAGGAGCAGAAACATCTTTGCATCTACATTCCAAATTGTAAACTGCCCACGAACAATGAGAAAAGACCTGATAATTGTATCAAAACAGGAATTGCTTGGTGAAGATGGAGTTCCTCTTTTTTCCATTGTATTAGCAGTGCAGTAGTTGGGGAAACCTGGGCTGGTTTACCACATCATTCTAAGCTAAAGTTTGTTTTAACAATGCCTTATTAAATAACCCATAATAGCTGTAATGAAATGTGGGAATTAATCTGAAAAACGAGAGAGGGGAAGAGATGCTGCTTAGGGAACAATCAGATAAAGGGGGGAGTAGTCCACAACCGAGCAATGGGCAGAGAAATAAACTTAGAAAGGATCTGCTTTAATTAATCAGTTGGTAAAAAGAGACAGCGGGAGATTTGTACTTTTAGACTTGCAAGATTCCATTAATGTCTCCTTGTAATAAAATAAGATTAGCTCACCTTGATGCATTTTTTGTTTTGTCCATTTGGGAAGCTGACAGTAGCTTACAAGTAGCTTACAAACCACAGTGGTTTTGTTCACATATCACATTAAATCAAAGCTAAAGAAACCAAACTATGGCTTCAGTACATGGGCATGGGGGGGGGAAGAATCCAAAAAGACAACATGGTGGGTGTGAATACAGAATCCAAGCTTTGTTGGGGTTTGATCACAAGATTGCACCTGCTATCTTGATTTTTTTTTTTTACCTCAGATGAGTGAGATGTGAGAACTCAATCACTTTGAAAAGTGACAAGTTGTATCTACAACTAAAGCACAAATATGGTACATTACATTACACAAATTCTTACATGAATATAACAAACTATGCAAAGCTATGGAGTAAAAAATAACTAGAATTCTTACCACTTCATGAATCAAATAAGTCTGTTCAAGCCGTTTAATCTGTCCCAACGGCAACAAGTTCCCAAGACTAGCTTCATCCAACTCTTTAACTAAAACACTGTGGTTTTTAATGTCCCTGAAATAGCCAAAAAGTATCTCATCAGCTGGTAACATATTCTTTCCTCATTGTTTTATTCAATTTCCCCAAAATTTCTCAATATAAAGCAGATGTGAAAGTAGGCTATCTGCCACAGAATGCTTGGATTCAAATGTGAAAACCACCCATATTGTATGACCAACATTTCAAATTTGACTTTTAAAGACTCCTCCTCTTCAAAAAATAATCGATACTGGCAACCTTTATAGGGACAATCCAAGCTACTGAAACAGGTGGGAAATACATTTGAAATAAACCTTTTAAAAGAAGGCTAGATGAACCCACCTTGCAATAGGCAAGAAATATAAAAAGCACTGGAGTTGAATTAATGGGGAGAACTGAGGACAATTGTTCAAAGTTCATTGAAAACAGATACTGCTTTTGAATATCCATATCCGGTCATTGTTCTATTTCCTCAAACAGTAATTGAGGGCAGCTTACATTTAGGTATTTTCAAGACTGCCTTTTATGTTACAGCCAAACTTCTTGATAATCCCCATAAGAATCTAAATAGACATAACAACGGTCTCCATTATTGAACAGATTCAACCGTATAACAGTCTAACAGGTAACAATGAAAGATGCATTCTTAATCCTACTCTGATCAACACAGGGCTGCTTTAAACCAGCTTAAACTATTTGTTTATCTACCTCAGCATTATTTTCTAGGGCAGTGGTGGCGAACCTATGACACACGTGCCAGAGGTGGCACTCAGAGCCCTCTCTGTGGGCACGTGCGCCATGTCCCGGAGATGGCAACCATCCCTCTTCAACCAGCCGCCTGCTAACTCACTGAGGTCCCACATGGCTGGATGCATCCCAGCACCCATGTGCTCGCTGTGTGCAGGGGCTGATGGTGTCAGGCAGCAGCTGCCTCGCCCCTGCCTCACCTTGCCCTGGACAATGGCACCCCTGCCCTGCTTCGCCTTGCCTCACCCCGCAGGATGAGCCTCCTGCCCATTGCCCCACCTGCCAGAGACCCCCTGGATCTCCTCTAACCCTGCCCAGCCCCCACATCGAGCAACATCGAGGTGATCACGCCCACCTTGGCCACACCCACCCAATCTGTCATGACCACCACAGTCACACCCACCCATTGGGCCACGCCCACCTGACAATAAATAAGTGGGTTTTGGGTTGCAGTTTGGGCACTCAGTCTCTAAAAGGTTCGCCATCACTGTTCTAGGGATATAAGATTTTGTTGATTTCAACTCCAGTAATATTCGTGGGTTTTTTCAATCATAAGCCTATTATAATTTGTTTTTGTATCTGTTTGTACATTCCTTAAAAATTTGCATGAAAAATGGTATAGATTTTCAGAAGAACACATTTTCAAATTTCCCTGTCAATGTGCATTTTGACAATTTCCTTTAAGGCCTATTTTTAACTGATGGAATTTTCTCTTCATGCTTCCATTTTTGTACTCATTTTTAATAGGAAACTCAAAATTGAGGGCCAATTACTTTCCAAATCAAGAGGTTACTGGATAAATTTCTGGCATGATTCAAGACGTTGGTTATGACCTATGAAACCCTACATGGTGTAGGGCCTGATTACTTGACTACTTATTTTCCGTGACATCATACTAACTAGTTCATCCAACAAGCTTTGGTGGACTCCAAGTCACTTCAGTTAAACAATGTGATCTAACAGGATCACAGAAGTCTATCTCCTCTGGAGTGATGCCTGCATCTGGGATGAGATTCCCTAGAATATTTATGCTGGCATTCTAGAAAGCCTTAATAACCTGTTATCCTAGGCGTTAGAGGTTAGTTAGTTGGACCCCTGCTAAATTATATATAATTATACTTAATCAGACCCACCATCAGCTTTTGTTTCCTCTTTTATTTTTTATAATTATATTCTGTTATGTTTTATTATTATATCTTTATTAAGAGCGCAGTGGTTAGAATACAGTATTGCAGGCTAATTCTGCTGAGTGCCAGCAGTTTGATTCTCAATGGCTCAAGGCTGACTCAGCCTTCCATCCTTCCGAACTTGGTAAAATGAGGACCCCGATTGTTGGGAGCAATATGCTGACTCTGTAAACCACTTAGAGAGGGCTGTAAAGCACTGTGAAGCAGTATATAAGTCTAAGTGCTATTGCTACTGAATGCCAGTTTTATTGTACCTTGCCTGGAATTGATTGGTGTCTAAATTGGTAAAACCCAGATAAAGCATAAATCATTACTTACTTTGGATATAAATTTTGCACCCAGCTGAGAAGAAGGTAAATGTCTTCTTTGCTCAATTCAAACTCAGCAAACATCTCCATCTGAGATGAAAAGTAATGGTGGTAGTACTTGGCATAAGTGTTGCACACCTGAAAATGCTCAGGGTAATGGTGTTTAATATGCTGCACCACTGTAATCATGTCATCCTTCATAGTCTTACCCATATGCAAGAAATTGTTAGCAATGGTAGAGAGGTCCTTGTTATCAACCAAAGGAGGCGCTTTCATTCGTTCTTCTATGGATTTCTGAATAGCATTCCTCCATTCCTCTTTCCATGTTCTGAGCTGTGAATGAATAGATCTCTCCTCCTCCTCCTCCTCCTCCTCCTCTACCCAGTTAATTATTGCTTTCACTGCATTATTCAGCAACTGTGGCTGTGCTGATGCTATGCTGATAGATGACTGTATGATGCGGAGGACCTCTTGATATAAAAGTTCTAATAAATCCTTAATTTCAGTCTGATTGCCTAGTGTTTCGTCATCATTTCTGCTGTCTAGATTGCTGTTGGATTGTTTTTGCATGATAATGAGATGTTGGCTGGCTTCATAAAAATGTTGGCTCTTAATCAGCTTTTTGATTTGGTCAACTGGCAAAACAAAGTAGAAACACTATGGTAATATCATGTGAGTGATAGGTTACTAATTCATTCAAGTTATATTTCCCCAATTTCAAGTTAAATGTACTCAGAGCAGTTCATAGTCTAAAAGTGTATGTAGTGTTTTTTTCCAAGGAGATAACAAATTTAGAAGCACGAAGCTGAAAACACCAGCCTGAAGATGACGAATGAGACTTCGTCAAAACGTCGCCAAGACACTTCCAATTTGATGCAGGAGAAAATAATAAGAAAAGAATAACCAAAGACCACATACAAACACCCACGAAAACCTCAGAAAACATATACATACATACATACATATTAAAAATTACATTAAAAATTGAAGAACAGCGATTCCTGGGTACATACATTTCAATAAAAAGGAAGCGATCACCAGGAAATAAAACACCAAGGTTTTAATAAATAAAATCAAGCTTTCGATGGCTAGCATCTGCCATCATCGTCAGGATACAAGCTAGCTAGTGGGGAAACCTGCTTATAAGCATAGCCACACCTAAACTCTACGCATGGACCTTGTAACAGGTCCAAGCCGACTAATCCTTACTTCACTTACAGTCTTCAGTGATTCTTTCTTATAGCTCTTACTTACATCCACCTAGCTTTCGATGGCTAGCATCTGCCATCATCATCAGGATACAAGCTAGCTAGTGTGGGAACCTGCTTATAAGCATAGCCACACCTAAACTCTACGCATGGACCTTGTAACAGGTCCAAGCCGACTAATCCTTACTTCACTTACAGCTTTCGGTGATTCTTTCTTATAGCTCTTACTTACATCCACACAACCACCCACTTTCCCCCTCCCTTTAGTTCCTGAGTCATATAGGCAACGTGTGTTTCTCAAAGTTAAAGGGTCCTCTGCACTATTGAGTTGATTCTTCTTCCTGTGTTCCTTGGGACATTTCTCTCCTCCACTCCTCCAGCACGCATCTATAAGCAGGTTCCCACACTAGCTAGCTTGTATCCTGACAATGAAAGCTAGGTGGATGTAAGTAAGAGCTATAAGAAAGAATCACTGAAGGCTGTAAGTGAAGTAAGGATTAGTCGGCTTGGACCTGTTACAAGGTCCATGCGTAGAGTTTAGGTGTGGCTATGCTTATAAGCAGGTTTCCCCACTAGCTAGCTTGTATCCTGACGATGATGGCAGATGCTAGCCATCGAAAGCTTGATTTTATTTATTAAAACCTTGGTGTTTTATTTCCTGGTGATCGCTTCCTTTTTATTGAAAAAAAATATATATATATGCCATAATTAAATAACAGCACTAATAGCATAAAATAGCAAATGAGAACACTCAGAACATCTCACATTCCAATTAGCCATGAAGTGGGCTCACTCATATTATCAAGGCCTCAGGCCAGATGGTAAAATCAGGTTTTAAATGCCTTGTGAAAGGGCAGTGGGTGAGTGGGTGGGTGGACAGGGGATATTTAAAAGGGGATGATTGCAGGATAGGAAGATAATCCAGAGAGCATAAGCCAATTTGAAGTCTGTGTTTAATTGATCCCAGTGGAAGAATTGAGGTAGATATTAAAAACACATTTCTGAAAGTTTGACATAGGGACACTTAATTAAAAGAAAATGTCTTCTCTTTTGTGGATCATGTCATTCCTTAGGGATGAAAAAGATTCATATATCATGCATCAAGTATCAATTGGACCTGATAGTCTACATTACCCTCCTACTCTATCAAAACCCCACTATTTCAGATGTCATTTTCTTGCATGGTGGCAGATATAATTTTCTAAAACAAGAATAAAATTTTCAAGATGTCTAATTCTAGTGAAATTTCAGCCAATTCACTTTTGAAATTTTGTATTTCACCATTTAATTAAAAACATTTTCATTTTTGAGATTCCGTGGATACTTTTGAGTGCTTGATGCCTACCTTGCCAACTCTTCTTGTAAATCTACAACCTGGACAATAATATCTAGCAGGGGCTTCCAAACCTGGCTGGCTGAGGAATTCTGAGAGTTGAAGTCCACAAGTCTTAAAAGGTACCAAGTTTGGAGACCCCTGAGATATAGCAATATATCTCATTATATACAGGCTGTCCTTCCATATGGTCATTCTGTACCTGTAACTGGTTGACAGTTTTCCTCTTGAGGTTTCTTTTCTTTTCTTTTCCCACCTTTGTCAAATAAATAATGAACAATTTTTTTTCTTAGTCCTTTTTTACGCTTGTTTTTAACATGTTCTGTTTCAGTGACTTCCAAAGGCGATTGGGAAAAATGTTCAAAGGGAGGAGTCTGCTTGTGGTTTTCAGGATGGGCTTCTTCAGAGGATGATTCAATTGACAATGAATCAGGTTCTGATTCAGAAGATGTTGAAGATTTGGGTGTCTTCTTGTTTTCAGTCTGTTTAGCAGGTTTTGGAGGACTGCTATAGAAAAGGGGCATTGATTTTAGCATTTTCTTCTAGAGAAGACCCTGCAAATTATATTAAGAAATTATCAGACTCCATAATTTCCATTCAGTAAGTAAAAAGACAAGTAATACTGTAGGAAAAATAGAGATAAAACATTCCCAATATACTATCTTAAATTATCACCATTAGTTGAGAAAGCAAAAATATTCTGAGATGCAAATAATAATGTTTAACATTATGTTACAATATTTGGACTATATGGTATTCTACGATATAAGTGACAAAATAGATGAAATATTGTAGGTTTATAAAATATCTTTTGGTATTGTAAGTTCAAAGTTTCAATATTGTGCAGATAGTCCTCAGGTTACAACAGGAGCTAGGGCTGGAATTATCATCACTAAGCAGCTCACAATCACATGTTCATGGCTCACAGTGACATCATAATTACAAGCCAGGAGTCAAACATCCAGATTGGAATCATTGGGACCTTGGGACACTGCAATAGCCAGAACTCCATTGATTGGTCTTAAGTCCCCTTCATTCATCAGCATTACAAGTTTGAACAGTAGTAGAAAAAAATGGTTGTAACCTGAGAACCACCTGTATATGAACATTCTTAATATGCAGTAGGAAGCAAAAGTTATAGCTGCAAGCCCCCCTCCACTCACATTAGCACTGTGTGGATGTGCTAGCACTGTCACCAGCATCATATGGGCAGTAGTGGCCCATTTGCATATGCGTGTGGGCACCAACGTGCCACCGCAGGCGTGTGAAGCCCATTTGTGCATGTGCACATACCAGCGTGCCACCACGCATGTGCCTGTTTGTGCATGCGCATACACGGGCCGCGCACCCGCACATTTCCCTGTTCTTCCCTTTCCTTCCGGGCCACCAAGCTGGAAAGAATACTAGGTTGGAGATGGCTGCATCATTTATTTCTTCATTAATCATTTTTAAACTTTCTGCTGTACTTTCTTTCTATAACTGAAATTTGGATTTTAAGTACCTTTAAGGCTGAATCTATGTTATGTTTTAGTTTATGTTACTCTTTATGGAGAAATCATTGGTACCTCATAAATCATAGTACCAAAAATAACTAAGATATAATGAAAAAGGGCATGGCATTTACTTCTGGCAGTAGCATTTTTAAAGGACAGCAAATATTTCGCTACTTCATTTGCTTTCTCCATATTTTTATTACTTTCTTGTCTCCTGTGCCAAAGCAATGTGGCAGTTTGGGATACATTGCAATGTTTGCTCCATCTTACCCATGTATTTTGGGTTAACCCTAAATATATGCAATGAAAGCAGATTATCATATCAAGAATATGTTCTCCTGATGAAACATTTTGCAGGTGACTATAGGTAATTCTGGTAAATACTGCTGACTTTGGTCCACCTCCACTGCAGACAAGTAGAATGTCTGTATATTCTCAATTATCTATGCAAATTTTTTTTGTTTTCCCTTGCTAAATCTATGCACAACTGACAAGACTACAGTTTATTCAAGGCAAAATTTATCCGTAAAGCAGAGGAAATGTATAGTGACTTAAAGCAAAATGATGACTGACAAATATACATGAGCAGTAATCACTGTAGAATAATACTTTTTATTTTTAATCTATTGTTTATTTTCTTGTGGTAGAAAAAAGGAAAATATTGACAGCAAGGGAGGAATACAACCATAATCTAGTTGTAATTGCATCTCAGAAACAATGGCTCTATAATTTTCCAAGTTTAAAATGATACCTAAGAATTATGGGGAAAGTACACACAATGTGAAATACTTCCTTTCCCAAACTACAGTCCCAAATACCTATAAATGCAGACTTTTTTTAAAAAATGTAACATGACATTTACTGTACTGTACTTTGATACTCACAAAGAATTGTGTGTTAGTCCTTCAGAGCAAAGAGCCTAAACAATGATGCCTATAGTGTGAACTATTCCTTGCCATTGATTGTAACTGAAGTCTAAAACATCTTGGTAACTTTATGGTTTATATTCAAAACCATTACGATTAAACACTGGATTGTCAATCCATCCTAATGCATTTTCCCCCACATCACATCTATACATTCTGAGAGAATATATACTTTCAAAAGTTGCTCAGCTTAATTAGTTTGAAAAGACTATAAATTTATTTTTAATTCTATTTTTCATTATTTTTTTATAAATAACTCAAAGTTGTGCACATACCCAATAATCCTTCGTCTCCCTCAATAACCACCCGAGGTGGGTTGAATTGAGAAAGAGCGACAGACCCAAAGTCACTCAGTTGGCTTTCATATCTAAAGTGGGACTAAATTCAGTGTCCCAGTTTCTAGCCTGGTGCTTTAACAACTAGATGAAGCTGATTCTCTGCTGAAGGATTTAAGCTCTGTGCAAGCGCAGGGACAGAGCTGAAATCCTTCAGCAGCATGTTCAATCAGCCAGTCCCAGCCAGCAGCAGCTTTTCCACTGACTTTCTAAGGAAAGGGTGCAATTGACAATGACATGTTTGTGGGGAACTTGGCAATGAGTCATAAGTATGAACAGGTTGCCTAGTATCTGATCATGTAACTGGGGGGTTTGGTGCAATGTTTTATGACAGGTTGTAAATCACCCAAGACCATTGTTAATATGTACTGTCATTAAGCAAACAGTCATAAGTGAAGGACTATCTGTATAAACATTAGGATTAAATAAAAAACAGTTCAAAAGTTAAGCATCAGAAGTGCATCAAATCAGTTTCATTAATCCCACTATAAAATGTTACAACAGAAATTTGGTTTATATCTTGCAAAAAGAAAGGAAGGAGGAGTATTCAAGAAAATTTAAAAAAAAACATTTGGCACTAGAACAAAGCGAAGACGTTCCAATCAAATAAATAAATAAATACTTCCATAAATTTCACTAATTTCGATTAAACTAGAGTATTGTTCTGTAGTTTAAATGTTTTTGATCAAACAATATAAATGGAATTGCTTGAAACATCATCAGTTAAGGAAATTTGTATAACTCTGATTCTCTGTACTTTGGGTTATGAATATGATGTCATTGTAGACACAAATGAAAGTTTATATTTCACTCTACTTCAGAAGAAATTTTAGACTTTTAAAATGAAAAGAAATAAACCTGGCATTTAAAGCCTCCTGAAAGAATCTAAAAAACCTCCAGTCCTAAAGATGACCTTTTAGCTTCTGTCCCATCTGTGTTCTACGGCTTGGCTCACTTGCCTGATTGGATCATTGCCCATGGAACTTGGAATTCTGTGGTTTCTTTGGGCTGCTGATGTGAGAGGATATTTGGAGACAGATGGAATTCTGTGATAAGCAGATTTCTTTCTACGCCCTACAATTGCCCCATCCTTCCCTAAGAAGAAAAACTTCTTTCCATGTAGAGTTTGTTCAAACCACTATCTCTGAGAGATTATTCTCCTTACAAACCAAATCTTGTTTTCAGATCCTGGTTTATTATGAGACAATTCAGCTAGTCAGCCTGGTTTGGATAAAGTCCTAAACATATCACAAATTTAGGTTTTCTTATCGTGTATAAATAAAATATATATGATCTGAATCCACTGTGTACCTCTGATTTAGAATATTGTATACCTGTTGGTTGAGTCAAATATTTAAAAACCACTAATACTGACTTGCCTCTTAATGAACTCACTTTTTAATCCTCACTGAGGTTTGTTAAACTGTTAGATTGAATAAGCCATACATGACAATTCATATTAATCATAAGCAAGTCTTTCCATTGAATGAGTGGGATATTAATAATAAAATTATAACATTGGAAATTGCCATTGTAACACATCTGGAAAGCATTAGATCGGAAAAGGGGACCATAAGCCATAGTTTACAAGCCATCAATTGGATTTGCCCAAAAGCGTAAGTCTCATAGTTTTTTTTAGCATGCGGTTTCCAATTCTGTAAATTCCCGGTCATGGTTGCTATAATGCACTTAACAGATTACCAGGAGGCAGGGACAAGGCTAAGGGACTCTTCCCGGAAAGTCTATTACTGTATTTGAAGAATTTGCCGTTGCACAAACACATGTATGACGTTTACTTTGCCTTCTCTTGAGCGTTTTCCAGGAAAAGGAGAAGGGCAGAAGAAACAGAGAGGAAAAGGCGATGGCAAGCCATACCAGGCTGGAGGGGAAAAAAAAAAAACCTTCGCGAGATCCGCCACTTTCACTGCGTTCATACATTACGCTCAACTTTCTGGACTTGCTCCTAAATCATAAATCAACCAACCGGCTGAAGTTGCACAAGATGCAAAAAACGGGCTTAAGTTGCACAAGTTACAAATGAACTAAAACCAAGATGTAAACTAATCAAGATTAAAATAGATGGTGCAAACACGGTCCGAGCGCTAGATCTTTATGAGAATCGGGCAAGCTACGCGACGGGTCAGACGGCGAAAAGAAGCGGGTAGTAGGAGACGACTTACGGTGTCTGGAAGTCAGAGCTGGCACGCGAGCCGTCTTCCTCCACCCGCGGGCTGATGCACGGGCTCTACTTTTGGCAGAAGTTGCGCTCAGGCCTATATAACAGGAAGGAGGCGAGGCCCACGCATCCCTGGGGGGTAAATGGCTGGAAACTCCGCCTTGCCTGAAATGAGCCAAGAGGCTCTGGGAAAATTTCCCGGAAAGCGGAATTTCCAACCATCCAGCTCGCAGGTCACTGGAGGGGAGTTTATATCTCCGGGGAGGCTGGAAAAAAAAAGTATTTTAGCAAAGAAAAAAAAATACCCCTTCGCCCTTCCGCACGTTTTTGAGGGCCGGCAGAAGAGCGTGAGGGCGAGGAGGCAAACGCTGCTACCTCCAGGCGGGCGCCTTTCTTTAGTTCTTCAGTTCAGACGCTTCAACCGTAAGGCTTGGACACACACACACATACACTTTCACACACACACACCCCAAACATGGAGAGGGCAGGCAAGCGCTGGAAAGGACCGCTGCCCTCCGTTGCCGGGCCGTTTGTCCGCCCTTCTCTGAAGAAGGAAAAACCGAGCGCTGAAGCGCGCAACTACAGGAATAGCAAGATAGTCACGATTGCTTACTCACTTCTCCTACAGCAGGAATAACAGGCTTGTACCTCCAACTGATTTGGAAGGTAGATTGACTAGTTTTGTTTTTAAGTGGTGGTGGTCGCGTATTGGGAAGATCATTACCTGAGTGGTTCTGTCTTGAAGATTTATTGGTCACCCAAAGATCAGTTATTTTCCTCTGCAGAGAACCACATCCTTCAGATAAAAGCCACATCTCCTATTCAGCCCTCAGTCTTTCTGCAGCAGGCATCCATTAAATACAAGGGGGTGGGGTGGGGGGGTTCTTTGGTGCCCTCTGAGCTTGCTTCTTTTCTTGCAGATGTTTCCTTAACTCAAAACTAGGTAACATCATCAGTGCGCACTGATGTTACTTAATTTGAGTAATGAAACGTCTGCAGGAAAACAGGCAAGTTCAGAGGGCACCAAAGTCCCCTCATTTCAACCCTAAGCTACAAATATTCTCCTTTATTAATAAATACTAGATTTTGTAGTCTAATAATCACTCATCACCTTAATATTCTTTCTTCTTTCTCTGGCAAGATGACAGTGGAAGGATATATGGCTTTAAAACCCACCAGCAGGTGATCAACAGGATGGGAGGCCAAAATTCTCTGCAACCAAAACTCTGTTCTGTCTTTAAAACCACAGGTGTCTCATTGGCTTTCCCTGCCCTGATTCTCTAGATGGGGTTACATACATTCCAGGGTGTATTATTTCCTGTTACCATGCCGGTTGGGGATAATGGAAACTATAACCAAGATAATAGAAGCCAGTAGGTTGAAAAAGGATAAGTCACATGCTGTTTTTAGAATAATTCATGTATAATTCAAATGAGGAAATAACTGCAGATTTATTTATGCTCTAAAAATCAATTTGTGTATTCCAATCACACTCTTTAGAGTGATGGAGGAAGTTGGAGGCAAGACACCTTTCTATTTTACTCCTCCTAATTGTCAGGCATTTACTGGCAGAGTATGAAGGTTATGCCTAGGACAGCTGTTGTTCCCTCTGACTGCATTTCTCATTTATTCATAGGCTGAAGCTCTGTTCATCTGTGGCAGCCCCAACATTATTAGAAATCCTTATGAATCATATCATACTTTCTAACTTACTTATTGTATGAATTAGGTGGTGATGGAAATTCCCACCTGCATAACTATTTAAGTTGATTCAATTAGAGATAATTGTGAGGTGCCTCAAGTACTCTCCTAAACTATAGAAATAGTGGCCTATAGCAGTGATGGTGAAACTTTTAGAGACTGAGTGCCTAATCTGCAACCCAAAACCCACTTATGCATCGTTGAGTGCCGGGTAGGTGTGGCCCATTGGTTGGGTGTGGCCAATTGGGTGGGCATGGCCATTGGGTGGGTGTGGCCGCAGTGGTAATAGCAGATTGGGTGGAACTAAAAAGTTCAATCAATTAATTCCAACTTTGCAAGATCTTTTTTTTTTCCGGAGAAGTTGAAATTGACTGAACTTTTTTTTTTTTTTTTTTTTTTTGCATACAGCGGCGGAGGCCTAAAGTGAAAAGGATTTATAAAACCCAGCTGAAGGCCTAGGACTGGGGCGATGACGGGCGTGCCCACAGAAAGGGCTCTGAGTGCTGCCTCTGGCACCCGTGCCATAGGTTCGCCACCACTGGCCTATAGTTTTATCAACCATGTGAGAGAATATTTAAGATTAAGACTATAAAGGCCTACAGATTATTCTTTTGGAACTTCCTTGTGTAGTCAAGAGGAGAATGTATAATATGAATGCATACAGGTAGTCCTTGACTTACAAAATTTTCGATAACCAGTTTTTTGTCTACTGCTAACCTTCAAGAAAGTGCAGTCACCTGATCATAACTTCCATACCTTTAGTTTAGTCTGGGATGGAGATTTAAAGTTGCTTTTATATAGCAGACTCAAAGCATAAACTAATACCCTACATGAGCTAATTGTATCCCAGCATAGATTGGTTTTTCTTCAGTATATTGGTCATTATATTTATGGGTTCACTGAGCCATTGTAAAAAGCCATTCTTTAAGCTGCTTACCTAGTATAAATCTAACCAAAACTTTGCCAACCTTGTCTTTACTCTTAAGTTGAAATGTCCCATAATGCCAGGAGGAGTTTTGCCTCTGGAATTGATAGCAGCTACCATATGAATGGGAGGTGGGGATGGAAAGAAGAAGGGAATCACATCACATATGTGGCAAGAAGAAAAGAATTAATGTTCTCATCCCATAATCCTAAAATTTACTCCTAAATTGTCTATTTCAGCAATGAAATGACAGTGCCACCCATCTGTTTGGTTTGTGTTTATGTCACTGTGGTTGAAGATCCTTATCTTAAATAAAATAACATGCACAATTATTTTCTGTCGAAATGATCTGATAGCCTATTTTTGTGAATTTTCAATTCCTTCCTATGGAGAAAAGAGTTAATTATTGGAATTTAGAAATTGATAGAAGTTGCAGTAATCTTGTTCAGCTGTCTCCAGCCATGAACGTCTAAGATAGTTTGGATGACTGACTCCATGATTCATATGTCTTCAGTATAGATGATAGGAACTGTGGTCCAGCACAAGTGGACAATAACAGGCTAAGGAGAAGCTGTTTTGGTCATTATGTAGCTAATCCTGGAAAGGAAATTGTTGTCGTGACTGTTGCAACTAAATGTTTGTTAGGTTATTGTCTTGCATAACAGTGTTATTATTTCATTCTTGTAGAAAAAGCCAAACTCTGCACAACAATCCCATCTGTTTTTATTTGGTAGATGGGCTAGAGTTCCTCAGCCCATGGAATCAGATCCTGCATTAAAAACCGTGAAATATTTGTGAGACGAAACTATCAAAGAAGAATGCTTTGGACATACCATTTAGAGAGCTTGGATTTGGCATAGCACATTGAAGCCATGATCTTTGGTCAGAGTTTTCGAACTTTTCTCTAAAAGAATTACAGTATTAATTTTTTGTTTCTGATCAGTTCCAAAAGTTGATGTAGCAATGGGTTGATCAAAAAACTGGAAAGAGGGAGGGGTGCACATGCACCCAAGTCTATCTGAGTGCCTGCTATGAGAAAAAGGGATGCTGCTAGCGGAAATGAGGAAGAAGGCTTAAATTGCTATTTAACATTACACAACTGCATTTCTTCTTCTTCTTTTAGTAGGTAACATCACCAAACAAAATTATAATTTCAGTATTGTTCTTTTAAAACTTCTAATTTGAACATTTGCTAAGAAGCAGCCTTTTTAACTGTTACAGAAAGTTTATTGTGTTTCAGTTGCTGAGCTGTTTGTTTATGACTTCTCTCTCTCTTTTAACAAAGGGCGTACAAATTAAGAAATCTGAATGAATCTCCTTTAGAGCTGAGGTTAATTTATGATGTTTGATTATCTAGTAGAATGAATGTGTGTGTGTGTGTGTGTGTGTGTGTGTAAAACAGATTAAACTTTCCAAAGTCTCCTTCCCACCTGGGAAATTCTCTGAGAAAATTAAAAATGATGTAAAATTAAGCATATATTTATTTACCAATAAAGGACAATATTTATAGTTCTGGGTTGAAGTGAGGGGTCGTTGGTGCTTTCTGAGCTTGGATGTTTTGTTGCAGATGTTTCATTACCCAAACTAGTAACTGGCAGTTACTTACCCATCATCAGTGCTAGTCCTAGTTTAGGTAATGAAGGATCCTTCATTTCTAGATCTGTTTCCTCCTAAAAAGATGAATAACCAATAGTACTATTTGATAAAATACATTATTCAAGAGGCTGAAACACAAACTTAGTGTCTCATTAGAAATTATAGCTTAAGAACATCAAAGTTGTACAATTTTTTAACAAAAATACAAATATAATGCAAATACCCAAAGAATGACACAACTCTAAAAATCGACATTTGCTTCTAGTACTAAAATTGTTATTTTTTTCTAATGTTAACCATATTTTTTTCAAGGTTGTGTCTTTAATATCCCATCTAGATTTTTAAAGTTCTTTCCTTTGATTATGTTTTGATGGCAGTTTCTGTAATTGCTTTATAATAAAGTTTTGGCATACATTATCCATACCCTGTGGTAAGATGGGTGGTCAATAAATTTAATAAATAACACAACTTTTGTGCAGTTCACAAATACAAATGGTAGGCAGCTATATAAATCTGATTCATACATAAAAATTAATAATAAAAATAATACAAATTAAATGTCTCAGTGGTGTGCAACTATGCCAAAATTATGAATGCTTTATCCATTGCATGCTGCACTGTTTGCAGAGGGTGTGACACCAAATGCCAGAAGGGAATGAGCATTGCTCAGTGATAAAGGATGTGCTTGGCAGGATTAGAAACCACTCCCCTCTGAAATCCTCATGAATTGCTGCCTGCAAATTTAAACACTTGAATGCATGATGACTCAATCATCTCACTTTCCTTTGCCTGATTCCCAAAGAATTGTGGTGGTGTTTTTCAAACTTCTTGTAATTGTGGACCCAAATATATCAGATAATGAAAGGATCACCCAATAAAACATCCTCACTCCATTTTTGGCTTTAAGGGAGTTCCTTTT